ATTCTGGGGCTTCGTCTGACATACTTTGGACATGTTGCCAGGAGGGACCGGTCCTTGGAGAGGGACATCATGCTTGGGAGGGTGGAGGGACAGCGCGGGAGGAGAAGACCCTCTGAGATGGATTGATTCGGTGACTGGGGTAATAGGGATGGGTGTGTCAGAGGCGGTGCGGTTGGCGCAGGATAGAGCAGGGTTTAGGGCTGTTGTGCATAGGGTCGCTAAGAGTTGGAAAGGACTCGATGGCACATAACAACAACAACAACAACATACAGTCTTAAGGGAAGAAGGTTGCCACACATCTTCCTCCAGAGGAGAACTAGCGGGTTCAAACTACTATTGGGTTAGCAAGCTTTACCACTGTGCAACAGGGTGCTCCAGGGACTAAGCGTGGGGACCAGAATCCATGTCTGGAGGCCAAGCCTTGGGACCCTAACAGCCTAAAGCAGCAGAGGACCGTTAGCAGTGGGCGGGGCCTGCGTCACGTGGCCGGCGACCTGGTCCGCCCGGCGTGCGCGGGCCCACGCAGAGCCTCTCTGCCTCCGGCCGCGCGCTTTGCGTGCGCGCGCAGAGCGGGAGCGGCCCGTGTGGGCGGAGCCCCCAGCGCGCGCGCCGTGGGCGGAGGCGGGGCCTGAGGAGGTGGAGGGCGGGGGCGGGGTCTCCAGTGAGGCTGAACTCGCGGCGGCGACAGTGGAGGCGGGAGGCCGGTGACCCGCGGAGGGGCGCCTCGGCCATGACTGCGGAACTGCAGCAGGACGAAGCAGCTGGCGCAGCCGACAGCCACAGCTCGGTGGGCCCTGCGGCGGCGGGCTGGAGCCCGGGGATGGCCTCCGGTGCCCTGGGGGGCAGGGGACGCGGGCGCGGGGCGCTGGTGGCCCGGCGCGTGGCCTCGGGGACTGCGGACTGCAGGCGGCCGGGCCGAGGTCCAGGGAGTGCACCGGGGTCGGTGAAGATGGGAGGTTGGGGACGAGGCTAAAACCTTTGCAAGGTCCGGGTAGCAGATTGAAGGTTTCATCTCGGGGTCTGTGGACGAGCTGAAGTTCGGGGTTGTGGGGAGCAAATGTTTTGGAAATAATAAAGGGCTGCTCGCGTGGAGAGGGGGAATAATCCCGCCTCGGGATTGGAGAGCTTCCCCGGCCCCCACTGGGGATGCAAAAGTTCCCTAGGAGCAATGCTGCTTTCAAGTCAATTCTGCAGTAGTTCGCGTCGTTTGCTAGAGACAGACAGCCCGAAGTTCTCTCTCCGGAGCCGGAATCGATTGGCCTTCCAGAAGCCCGGGGTTCTGTTACCACCCCTCCTCCCCCTCCCCCCTTTTCTTAGCTGAGCGTGCAGCCTCCCCTCTTATTGTATTCTTCATTCTAGCTTTGTAAGGGGGAGGGGGGAGCAGCAGCCCCATGAATAGAAGATATGCGGATAAGGCTTTCCCCTTTACTATTTAAGAAGATTGAAATCAATACAGAGGTTTCTGGGCTAAGATGGTGAGAGGGAAAGAACACGGGGAACTCGGGCTTTGGGAGAACCATGAAAAGATGAATGTCTGTTCGAACAAACTTGGGAAGTGGGCAATTTGAGAATGTCTTCTAAGGTTACTTTGGAATGCTCGAACTTAATGCTAGCTTCTCCCCTTCTCAGCTACTACGCTTTCCCGAGACAATGGGGAGAGCTTTGCTCCCTGTGCAAATTCGAGTTCGAAAATGGCGAGGTTTCAGGAAATATTTAAAATACAAGGCTGTCAGAGACCTTCACGAGAGAAACACATTTATGCCTTTTTATTGTTTTTATGCATTTAGAAAACCGATAGTTAACACGTGAATACAGTTTCCTTTTTAAACTTTTTTTTTTTATAAAAAAAAAAAAGCAAACCACAAAACAATAATAAAGATACCTCCAGGTCCTGGCCTGGAAAACGAAAGTTCTGTGAATGGTGTGTTCACGTGCTGCTTTCTGTGATGGGGATATTATTGTGAGGAGTTGCCTAATGTCTCCTGGAATTTGAGTCAGGATTTTGTTTGGTTTCAGAGATCATTGCTTCTGTGTGTTTTGGGGAACCGTGATTTAAAAAATCACATGGAGGAAAAAAATCTTAGTTTTGAGGCATTGGTGTTGATTTTGGAGAAGAGGACTGTTGTGCAGGGGAGCAGGTCACATTTAAATTTGTTGGAGTTGTGTCATGTACCTGTTCATCTGTGGCATCTTTATTTACCTCTGCCACAGTTTGGCCCCCACGACCTTAGCACTCCACTTGTGAGTTCCTGTGTGGTGTTTGAGGAGCACTGGTGTATCAGTCATAGCTATTTTGGGAAGGTTAGAGCTCCTGGTGGCTCTGCTGGCTATAGTACCCTGATTGCTGGCAACCTGCAGAGCAGTGACATTTGCTGTTCCTCCCAATGACTGCCCTATACAGACAGATGATAAGCTTGGAATGCTTGATAGTGTTTGTTCTTACTGTTTTTGCTGCTTATGTTAGCAGGCCAGGTTGAAGGAATCTTTGGGAAAGCGCATTTTAAACCTGGGGTAAGATGTTACTAATTTCTTTCTTCATGCTTAGAATGACTCTGACAGGTTCTTGAGTGTCACAAGCAGTTAAGTGTATAACTCCTAGCCAAAAGGTTGTTGTTAGGTGCTGCCAAGTTGTGAATGACTCAGGTGGTTCAAAACCACCCAGAGGTGCCTTGAGAAAAAGGCTTGGCTAGTCTAACTTGAAAAGGTCACTGTCTTGAACACACTATGGGGCAATTTTACTCTGCCCCACATGCAATCGCCATGAGTCAAAATCAACTGATGGCGACTAACAGCAAGAAGATGAACTATTTTGAATTGTATGAGGCATCCTGTCTTTCTTTTAAAGGATACTAAATTGTTCTAGTTGAGACTAGCTATCCATCCTTTCCTTATACTCAGAAGCTATTTAAAACAAAGAATGCGTCCTTTCCCTTATTGGTACATAGGGCAGAGAGAACCCTTTATATAGCTTTCCAAGAATGTTCGTGAGGGAAAAAAGTAGTACTCTTGAAACATACACTCAGTATGTACTCAGATCTAAAGAAATGGACTTTGTATTACCATTACATTACCCAGAGTTGAGACTGATACTCAGATATCTAACTATTACTTCCTGACAGGTCACTGCCTTTTACTCATTGCTTAGGTAAAAAAACAAACTTTATCTGTAATGTACTTTCTGTTACCATAGAATAAACAATGTGAAGTCTGTTTATTCCTTACATACCTGAAACAGCATTGCAGTTTCAGTGAAAATTTAATGTCCTTTTTGCCTTCTTGATATAATGACTTTTCGTGTGTGTGTGTGTGTGTGTGTGTGTGTGTGTGTGTGTGATGCTGTTGATAGGGACAGTTTCACCTTGTGGAGTTAGAAGAAGTCAGACTTGGCCATCTGTCTTTTTACAGTTAATATCAGAAGTGAGATTCATTGCACTGGCTCCAGATTTATGAAATGTGTGATTTTATAAAAGTAAGACAGTAGGAACTTGGGAAGTATGGGGTGGGCGGGAGGGAATGGTTGCTTTTGCTGTTCCAAAGAGGGGAGGGAGGGAAGTTGAGAAGCTGCTTTTGGCCTGAGACATAGGGAAGATGCCCCAGACCATACACATGTGAATAACTTAAAGATGGTATTTAAAGGTGAAGAATGAAGATGAAACCAAGAAATTCTGCCTTTTTTAAAGGCATATGTGTTAAGACTTACATTGATTTTACTTGATTTAATAAGTATTGGTGATTTTTTTTTCTATAGTTTTTTCTATGTAGTGGTGCTAAAATGTATGGTATAAGTGAATACTGGTTATTGTCGATTATTAAAAACAACAAAACCCAACCATGTAAGTCTACCTTTGGCCAGTACTTGATTGAATGTGCTAAAAGGGGAGCTTGGCCCTGGAGACGTACTAGTTAAAAGTAGAATGTTCATTCCCTTTTACCTTGTCATATTAATTGTGATCTGGAGTATACCTGTTAGTCAGCGCTTGTTTGACTTCCACAACTCTCATGTTTCTTATCTTTAAAAGGTTACTGTTCACATAATGATAACAAAACAAAAAGCCCACGGTTGTGGAGTCAGTTCCAGCTCCACAACCCTGTAGGACAGAGGATTGCTTACATAGCTTTCCAAGACTATAAATCTTTATAGAAGTGGCTGCTTCAGCCCACTCCTGTGTGGTAGCTGTTGAGTTGGAGGTGCTTTAATCACTGTGCCACCAGTTTCCTTGCAGTGAGTCCAGCATTTATAAATTACATTGACAAATGATCATCTCACCAGGCAAGATCTTGCTGAATGCTTGCTTATGAATATTTTCTAAAAAGAAATTTTAACCAGTAGCAAAGCAGAGCAGATCACCCACTTAGGGAAGAAGTGATGCTGATAATAGTAATAGGAATCTACTTCTGTTGCCACTTGCTCTCCAGTAAGTTCCTACTCTTGGAAACCCCATAGGTCAGAGTGTAACTGCAGTCTCTAGGGTCTTCAGTGGCTGACTTTTTAAAAATAGATTATCAAGCCTTTCTTTTATGGTGTCTCTGGGTGGACTTGAACCTCTCTACCCTTTTTTTAATTGTCAGACATTATTACTAGTTAGTACTATCCAGAGATTCTGATGATAAACAAACCTGTTGCTTTCAAGTCCATTTTAGCCCAGTGATCCTATGGAGCAGCATAGAATTTCTCCATAGAGTTTCCAGGCATGCACTTGTTATGAAAGGAAACTGCTACATCTTTCTCCTGTAGAGCGGCTGGTGGGTTCAAACCCCACACCTTTTGGGTAAGCAGTCAAATTCTTTAACCACTGGACCATCAGAACTCCTATTGGTAATAAATTAAAACCATATGCACTGCCATTGAGTGATTCCAGCTCGTAGAGACCCTACATTCTGTTTCTGGAGCTTTAAATCATAGTTGGAGGAGACTGTAAATCCTTCTCCTGCTGAACCACTGGTAGTTTTGAACTATTAGACATGTGCGATTTGGGTTAGCGTGCAGCAGCTATGGTTTATGCTCCCAGAGCTCCTTCATTGGTCACATACTCTACCATACCCTATGCTTATAATTAAACATCTGCTAGTATTTAACTCTAGGACATTTTCTTTTTTTTTCTATAATTATATTTTATTAATTTTCATAAACATTTACAGAGATTTTGGATTTCCATTCATTCACCGCTGCACCATTCTCTCTACCCTCCTCCCAGTTTGTTCTTGTCCAAATGCCACAGTGCTTGTCAAAGCCAGTTCTGATTAATCTTCTTTGTCAGTGTGTCCTTTGCCATTCCCTATCACTCCTCCCTGAGAGAGACTTCACCCTGAGTCATAAGGAAAAGGGGATGGCGTATTCTCTTAGCTACTTCCTGCTGAACAGGGACGCTGTGGGTTTCAGGGTGAAACTCTTCTCTCACTACTCTAAAGGACCCCTTTGGCAGTAGGAAACACATAGACTATTATGGAGATTGATTTTGGAATTTAGATGCACTCTTATTGATTGTGCTTGGCCATACATGTTCATATCCTTGAAGATGTATCATGGGGGTGTTGCAACCTAGAGGACACAAATTTGACTAACAAGTTATAAGTACATGAGTCAAAAATTATGGAAAAGTAAAAGAAAAGATTCTTTCATTTTTCCACACCCCCCCCACCCGGTCCCCTCCACCATGCAGCCCTCGCTCTAGACTCCTGTGATGACAGAAACACCCAGTTATATATCTCTTTTAAACAGTTCCCTCCCTCCTCCGCCTCAGTGCAGCACACATCATTGAACCCATCTTACTCAGTCTCTCCCCAACC